GCTGAACCCACTGTGAAAAGCCCAGGCAAGGTGACAGTGTCTGGAGCATCAGTGAAAAGGTGGAGAGAAGCAGCAACACCTGAGGCCCAGGTGAGGGGCTGAGCAGCCTCTGTGTGGCAACACAGTCTCCCAAAGACCACAGCTGGGACAGCTACATGCCTGACCCACCAAAATCTCTTGGAACTTCACTTTGCAAGAGGACAAACCAGTGGGGCTAAAACAATTCAGCTGCTGTTCCACATCCTCCAGGTGCCAGCCCCACACTGCAACCCTGCCTGCCCACGGCGTGAGCACCCAGGACAGGAGGAGGGAAGAGCCTCTAAACACCAGGGCTGAGAAAGGAATGAGAGAGCCCAGGGAAAGGCAGGACTCAAGTACCAGTGACTGCAGTAAATGCCACAAGCTCTGCCTGGGACCAGACTCCTGGCAGCAACGCTCCCACCTGGGAGCCTGTCCCTTCAGAATCTGTATGGACAGATGGAACCTCAGAACCAAGTTATTCTGAAGATGCTCCTTTGGCTGCAGTAGCTCCTCAGAGGCTGATCTCAAGCTCAGGACAAAAGATGCCAAGCTCCCCCCAGGGAGATGGGCTGGACAGGCTGGGGTGCCCCCTGGCAGGGCACCCTGCCCAGGGCAGGGCTGGTTGCCTCCTGCGTCACACCTGAGCAGAGGAAGAAAAGTGGATTCCCTGAGGCTGTTCAGTGGCCAAGGCAGGGCTAGGAGCAAGTTCAGGGGACACTGGGTTCATTGCCCCTTTCCTGGGGGAAGTGGCCTGTTGGACATGGGTTAAACCCAGTGCCAGGGTCTGAGTTTCCACCTGGCTGAGTTAATCTCAAGAAGCCTCTTGCCCCAGCAGAGAAATCCTGGTGCTGTTTCACAGACACCTCCAGCCATTTGGGTAGGATTCCCTGTGCTTATCAGAAGGAAGAGCAAAACCAGGATCAGTGGGTGTCCAGGTGTGTCAGCTTGTGCAACAGGTGGTGGGTGAGGCTGGCATGTGCAGCAGCTTGCCAGGAGAGGCTGGCAGGTCCCCCCTCTGCTGGCACTGCTCTGCTTTTCTTCATCAAAACACAACCAATCTAACAGACTTGGTGCAGATATAACAGGGCTTTTAAAACAGCTCCTGGGTTGGGTAATAGCAGAAGCCAACCAGCTCTTCAGCAGCTCTTTTCTAACAGAAGGTTTGGGCTGTTCTGGTGACAAACCTGGTGTTCCTCTGGGCAGTTCTCAGCCCAGTGCAGAAGATCCAGACACAAATGAAGCAATCAGTGCAATCCTGCACCGTGTGACAGTCACCCTCGCCTGGAGTTCCTGCCTGTGTTACTACAGCTTCAGTGGCAGGAAAGATGATTAACAGTCCTTCACAATGACACTATGCAGTAACTAAAGCCATTTCTGGTTATTAGTAAGAAATGAACAGAGCAGTGCTGTGTATGTTGCAGGAGCAGCAAGGGCAGTGGTTGGGTATCACTGGCTGTGCTGGTGTTCATCAGCCAAAGTGGTGACTCTTCTCCACCAGTGACTTGCAGATCTCCAGTGCCCTAGGAGAACTCTTGCTGCTGTTTCTCTGGAGCATCTTGGCACTGGAACAAAGCAGCAGGAGCCAGCAGGTCAGGAGACAGCCCCCCAGGTCACTTGCAAGCAGGACCCAGGGTCCCTCTGCCCCTGGGAGCCCTGCCTGGAGCACCAGGAGGGCAGAGCACCCTCCATCCCAAGGCCACTCATCTCCACCAGTGCTCACTAGGCCTGGCTGGGGACTCATTTTCCACTCCTCCTGTTCCACTCCTCATATTTTACCATCAGCTTTATACAGGAAGGGCTCCATGGATTTCAACCATTAAAATTTATGTCTGAATTTATGGTAGCAATTTAAAATATCCAGTTGGACTTAACTGCAACATCCTTTTAGCCTATTAACTTTTATTTCTGGAGCTCCTGGGGCTTCTACAAAATAATTAGCAGAACTATGGCAACTGAACAGATTATTTTATGTGCTGGGCACACAGCATTTATATCACTCTCCAGCTGCTGAATTCCACAGGAGGAGAAGAGGGAAAGTTCCTCATAGAAACTGAGGGAATCACCATTTAGAGATGGAAATGCAGAGTCGTGGAGGTTTTCTAGAGTACGATTAGCCTACAGCTGCAGGTTTTCTAAACCCTCCTACCTTTCTAAGCCCTTAAAAGCACAGGCCTTGAAGCAGTAAAGATCAGGGAATTTCTCCAGCAACTGCAGCCTGAACAGTTATTGCAGCCCAGGGCATTTCTTTGAGAGAGCTCTCCCATGAGGCTCTTCAATAAGATTAAGGGGATTTGAGGAAAGGGACTGTGAGCCAGATAAGGCTGCAAGACCTGGGAGGGGGCTTCATAAGGAATGTCTATCTGGAGACAGTGATTCCATCCCTGCCAGGGCCCTGCTGGACCCTAAAAGCTCAGCCTGGAAAACCAAGGAACAAAGACAGGATTTCAAATGGCAGAGACTGTCCTAGAGCAGCACTTTACACAGAGTTCAGCTCCTCTGCAACTGCCTGTGAAGCACCAGCAGTAACATCTCCTGCAGCCCAAGGGTGTCCCATGTCACAGCCTGCAATGTCAGGCTGCACCTGCAGACCCCTGGAGCACTGAGCTGCCCCACAACAGCCAGACCCTCTGCAGCCCCTCAGCTCCAGGCCGGGGCTACAAACCAACCACAAGGAAACCTCTGGACCCTAGAACCTGCCCAGAGCATCTGGCTGTGCTCTCACACCAGTCCAGTGCCCAGACTAGTTGGAAGTCTCTCATCTCTTCCTAATAACAGTGGGATCTCTGGAGACAGTCCCTGCCAGTGGGAGCAGGGCTGGGCTGTTCCAGGGAATGCTGCTCCCAGAAGGCACACGAGCTGCCTTGGTTCCAAGAAACCCCAAGATTCAGGGGAACTCCATTCATGACCATGATGGAGAGGAAAGGAGCAGCCCTGGATCAGCCATAAGTTCCTGTGCAGGGCCTGGGAAGGTGAGCTAACCCAGGGTGGCCTCTCTCCCCTCTCTGCAGATCCCCAGGAGACGTGTCCAGTGTTCACAGCTCTGGGCATCGGCAGCGCCTTGACAGGGACAGAGCTGAAGGTGAAGCTGCTGCTCTACACCAGGCAGAACCCAGTCTGTGCTGAAGAGCTCCACTCAGCAGCCTCCAAACACCTGGATGTGACCAAGAAAACCACCTTCATCATCCACGGGTACCGGTTCACGGGCTCTGCCCCAGTCTGGATCCCTGAGCTGGTGCAGCTTCTGCTCTTTGTAGAGGACATGAACGTAATCGTCGTGGACTGGAACCAGGGGGCAACAACTCTCAACTACAGCAAGGCCTCCAGAAACTGCAAGAGAGTTGCTGAGGTCCTGAAGGAGCTTATTGATGAGATGGTGGTAAGTTTGGACATTCACACCATCATGTAGTCATTGTCAGGCAGCAGGGAAGGGGCACAGAGGGCATGGGTTCATTTTTGGAAGGGCAGCCACCAGGGTGCCAAGGTCTACAATATTCAGTGTACACTCCAAGTCCCTACCTGTCTGGATACAAAGCCCTACAGATACGTTTTCCCCATACATGGGAACTCTTTTCCCACTTTTTGAATGTCCTGTCCCAGGGCTCTGTCACCCTCCCAGGCAAGAAGCTTTTCCTCATGTTTGACTTGACCCTCCTGAGCTCCAGTTTGTGCCCATTGCCCCTTGTCCTGTCCCTGGACACCCCTGAGCAGAGTCTGGCCCATCCTCCTGCCACCCCCTGCAGATATTGATCAGCACTGATCAGATCCCCCCTCAGCCTCCTTTTCTCCAGCTGAGCAGCCCCAGCTCTCCCAGCCTTTCCTCACAGGCAGATGCTCCAGCCCCTTCAGCATCTCAGTGCCCTGGGATGGACTCTCTCCAGTAGCTCCTTGTCCTTCTGGGACTGGGCAGCCCAGAACTGGACGCAATGTTCCAGATGTGGCCTCCCCAGGGCAGAGCAGAGGGGCAATATTCCCAGAGTGGAACACACCAAGGGAAAACGTGGGAAAAGCAGGGAGATACGTGGACGTCCCTTTCTCCTGCTGCTTGTGATGCCATGTGCCTAAAAACCTGCCCCCACGGGTACCTTCCATCCCCAGGCTGCCGGGGGGGCCCCGGGCTCCGTGCACATGGTGGGGATGAGCCTGGGCGCCCACATCTCGGGCTTCGTGGGGCAGATGTTCGGCGGGACCCTGGGCAGGATCACAGGTGAGTGCTGGGGACCCCTGGGCAGGGTCACAGGTGAGTGCTGGGGATCCCTGGGATCACAGGTGAGTGCTGGGGATCCCTGGGATCACAGGTGGGTGCTGGGGATCCCCAGGCAGGCTCACAGGTGAGTGCTGGGGATCCCTGGGGTCACAGGTGAGGTCTGGGGATCCCCGGGCAGGCTCAGAGCTGCCAGGAGCAGCCCGGGAGCAGCGGGAACAGCCCGACCACCCTCTGCCCTGCTGTGCCCACAGGGCTGGACCCCGCGGGGCCCCTGTACCGGGGCCAGGCCCCTGACGAGAGGCTGGACCCCTCGGACGCCCAGTTTGTCGATGTCATCCACTCCGACACCGACGGTAGGTGATGATTCCCCCTGGAGCAGCACCAGGGGCTGCAGGGGGCACAGGGGGCTGGGGCAGGCAGGGCTCCTGGGGGGCCCTTGCTCCTCCCAGGAGGTCAGCACATCTAACCCCCCCAACCCCCGGGTGGTGCTTCCAGGCTTCATCCCACCTGCCCCAGGCTGAATGTTCCTGTGGGGTGAATCCTTTCCCAACCCCTGCACGTCCTCACACCCACCAGCCTGGCCAGCAGGGGGGTGGAAGCCCCCCCTCTGCACCCCCCAGCACCCAGCCTTGGCTTTCCCACCTCCCTGCTGCTCTCCTCTCCTCCCAGCCCTCCCAAGAGCTCAGACTCCAGCAGCAAGACCCAGTGTCCCTCTTCCCTCTTCCTCTCCCACAAGCAGTGACACAAAAAGCCAAGTTGTGCCCTGTCACACACCCAGGCAGCTGGTACCACACACAGCTGGGTCACAACTGCTCAGCCTGCTGCTCAAACAGATGAATGACAGATCCCTGCACAAGCCTAGAGTTGAACAACTGGGTGGCTTCTTCCTGCTCCTGTGTTGTATGATTTAATATCCCCCTCACACTTCTTCCCCTCACCCCCGGTGTTTTCTTTTGCCAGGACTAGGTTACCAAGAAGCACTTGGCCACATTGACTTCTACCCCAACGGAGGCACCGATCAGCCTGGCTGCCCCCTGACAGTGTTTGCTGGTAATTCATTCTGCCTTCAATGCCACAAACACTGGCAGAAATATTTCCAAGCAGAAGAGAGAAGACCAGAGAAACTTCATCCCTGCTTGGAAAAAAATCCATTAAACCCCCCCTCTGGGAAATCCATGGAAGTGATCCCTTCCCAGCACTGGTGTGGCACTGACCCAGCAGCAGCTTGGCAGGCAGGAGTCAGGGCTGAGCCCCCTGTTCTCTGTCACCAAGGCAAACAGGATTAAGTTTGCATACCTGAAAGTCATCAGGTAGATTTGTGCCTTCATTTTGTGACTACGTTTAGAAAGCCTGTGGCATTTTATATATATATATATATATATAAATTACTTAGAACACATAGAGAAGCCCAGCCTTGGCTTTCCCACCTCCCTGCTGCTCTCCTCTCCTCCCAGCCCTCCCAAGAGCTCGGACTCCAGCAGCAAGACCCAGTGTCCCTCTTCCCTCTTCCTCTCCCACAAGCAGTGACACAAAAAGCCAAGTTGTGCCCTGTCACACACCCAGGCAGCTGGTACCACACACAGCTGGGTCACAACTGCTCAGCCTGCTGCTCAAACAGATGAATGACAGATCCCTGCACAAGCCTAGAGTTGAACAACTGGGTGGCTTCTTCCTGCTCCTGTGTTGTATGATTTAATATCCCCCTCACACTTCTTCCCCTCACCCCCGGTGTTTTCTTTTGCCAGGACTAGGTTACCAAGAAGCACTTGGCCACATTGACTTCTACCCCAACGGAGGCACCGATCAGCCTGGCTGCCCCCTGACAGTGTTTGCTGGTAATTCATTCTGCCTTCAATGCCACAAACACTGGCAGAAATATTTCCAAGCAGAAGAGAGAAGACCAGAGAAACTTCATCCCTGCTTGGAAAAAAATCCATTAAACCCCCCCTCTGGGAAATCCATGGAAGTGATCCCTTCCCAGCACTGGTGTGGCACTGACCCAGCAGCAGCTTGGCAGGCAGGAGTCAGGACTGAGCCCCCTGTTCTCTGTCACCAAGGCAAACAGGATTAAGTTTGCATGCCTGAAAGTCATCAGGTAGATTGTGCCTTCATTTTGTGACTACGTTTAGAAAGCCTGTGGCATTTTATATATATATATTTAAATTACTTAGAACACACACAAAAGCCCAAGGACTAGCAACAGCAAGAACCTGCTGAGGTTCAAGATGAACAAATCCAATGCACCTTCCTTGGCAGTGCCCAACAGTGCAGTCTGGCAGGTGGAGCCCTTGGCTGGAATGCAAGAAAGCTTTTCTCCTGGCCAGCCCAGCAGCAGAAGTGACTTTGGGTGAAGAAGATCCCTTTACAGAAGAAAAGGCAGCAATAGAACTCAACCCTTATCAGACCCAAGAGAATCTACATAGGAAACCCGCCTGAAACAAAAATCCACAGGAAACAAGGGTTCACTCCTTTTGCTGCTCATTCAACATCTCATTTTACCAGTTACTTAAAGAGTTTTTAAAACCAAAATGGCAAAGCCATGTTCAAAAAAATGCAATATTCACCTGCCAGGGCTGAGCTCAGAGAGCACCTGAGGGGGGCAGGGCCCTCTGGAGCTGCAGGGACCACACCAACAAATGTGGCTTTAAAACCAAAACAGGCAAGAAGGAAAAGTAAAGCAGATGTAGGCAGAGCTGAGAGCACTCCAAGGGAGAGGCTGGTGCCCAGGTCCTGTCCTGCCACAGCCCAGTGCTCCCCAGTGCTACCTGTTGGGTTCAGACTGGTCAGTGCCTGCCCACCCGTGTCTCTACATCCCAGAGCACTAACACTGTTCTCCTGCAGCCCGAGGGTTCCTAACAGAGTGTTTCTCCCCTGTGTGTGCTGCAGGACTGTGGTATTTCAAGTGTGACCACCAGAGGTCTGTCCTGCTGTTCATGGCCAGCCTGAGGCAGAGCTGCAACATCACTGCCTACCCGTGTGACTCCTACAGAAGTTACAGGAATGGCAAATGTACCAGCTGTGAAACTTTCTGGCCTCTGCCCTGCCCCATCCTAGGTAAGGATCCAGGGAATGCACACACACCTGAACACAAGTGTCTGGCAGAGGTGCCCACCATCACCCTGCCCCTGTGTGCCCAGGTTTTGCTGCAGGACTGGCACAGCACAACCCTTTGGGACAGCAACCTGAGTTATTGTTCCACTGAGGTTTTGGGGCTGGTCTCTCCTTCACTCCTACAGGGGCACAAGCCTCTGCTGCATGCAAAGGAGGCCTGAGAAACTTCCCTGCTCTTTGTGTGGTCACATCGTGGTCTGGAACAGAAACCCACACGTAAAGGGACCCAGAACCAGGAAAGCAAAAGCATGACTTGAGATCCTGAAACCAAAGTCACAGGAACAACAAATTAAAGTCCCTCAGCTGTGGGATTTGAGGGGTGGGGTCACGGTCTTGCTAAAGCAGAATCTTCTTTAAGGCACTTTCAGCACCACAAGCCCACCTTGGCTCTTACAGGAACAGCAGAGGGGTGAGCAAAGGGAATTCTGCTTCCCTGTCCTCCCCCAGATGGCCCAGCCCAGCCCAGGCTGTCCTTTCTGAGGTGCTGATGCTTTCACAGCATCACAGAATCCCAGGGGTTGGAAGGGACCTGGAAAGATCCCCCACCCCATCCCCCCTGCCAGAGCAGGGTCACCCAGAGCACATCACACAGGAACGTGGCCAGGGGGGTTTGAATGTCTCCAGAGAAGGAGACTCCACAGCCTCTCTGGGCAGCCTG